GGCGGCGGGATGACCTCGCAGGCGAGCGGCCTTGCTGTCGCTGCCCGGGAGTGTCGGTGCTGAGATCGTCCCCGACCTTTGCAGGTCGGCTGGCACGACCCTCCGGGCGCAGCGGCCAGCTTCCTCTCGGTGACGCACGGGCTGATCGACGCCGCCGCCTCGCTCTGCGAGCGGGCGGACGGCGCGGCCGACGAAGACGCGCGGAGTTGCGCGATCGAGGCCTTTGGCGCGCGGCTTGCGGCAGAGGTGTCCGCCTCTGGCCGGCGCGGCCAGCTACGCGGCACGCTCGTCGCCATCGAAATGGTCGGAGCCTGCGGCTCCGCAGACGAGTACGGCGGCCGCTTCGCCGGGCTGGCGCGGCAGGTGGGTCAGCGGGTGGTGGGCAAGGCGGCGCTGGTCGCGGCGCTGCGGGAGCACCTGCAGCAGTGGGCGAGGGGCGGGGCCGTGGCGAGCCGGCACGAGGCGTACGCTGGGCTGCTGCCCGCAGAGCTGCTAGGGCTCGCAGGCCTCGCCGACGAGGGAGCGAGCTTTTACCTCTGCCGCTCGTTCGAGGTCGCTCCGGGCGTGACCCTCAAGCCGAGCTGGTCGCTCGGCGTCTACCTCTCGCGGTCGGCCGCGCCGCCGCCGCCACCATCGCCGCTGGAGCATAGCTGATTTTAGCGCGCAGATAGCGTCTCGCCCCAGAGCCCCACTCAGCACTCAACACTCTTACTTCACACTTGTGCGGAAACACCTACACTGCAAGAGTGCAACCTGCAAACACTCGCTTGCTTTCAGTCATGGAAATCTCTAGTCTTTCTTAGAGATTGAGAGGAGTGAGACCTGAAGATTTCAGGGCAGATCTCAGTCTCTAGTCCCGCCCTTGAGATCTCCCAAATCTTCGTCGAGACTTCAGCCACGAAATCTCAGTCTTCCCGTCGCTCGGTGTGAGTTTCTAGAGGAAGCGCGTGAGATCTCAAATGGACAAGATTCCTTTTCGGATTTCGCTTTGGGAGTTTGAGATTTCGATGAGGGGTGGGAGAGACTGAGACTGCAAGCAAGAGAGATTCCGTTTTCGATGCAGAATGCTGTGAACTTCCTCAACCTTCCAACGCCTTTATCTCGCATCGTTCGAAAAACATCACTTGCGGACCACCGAAATCTACTCGGGCAGCGTGACTCGAGATTTGAGATTGAGACTGAAAGAGTTTAAACAAGACTGAAAGAGGCACGCTCGGCTTGCAATGCTTTGCGCCGCCGACACCGTCCATCTCGCCGCCGGCCTGAGGCGGTTCTCCACGAAGCTGCGGCCGCTCGAGAGTGAGGACGAGATCGTCGCGCTTCTCCTCGGCATGGCCCGCTACCCAGTCGACACACCCGACCGCGCAGAGCTCATCGCTGCCGACATGCAAACAAAGCACGCGTCCACGACCATCAACGTCCTCGTCAGCAGCATCGAGAGCGAGGCGGGCATCAGCGCTCTCGTGGATCTTCTCGACCGCAAGCGCTTCCATGAGCAGGAGAAATCCACGCCGCTCCACCTGGTCCCGCAGATTGAGTTCTGCGCCGTCTGCGCTTTGCAAGGGCAGAAGGTGTGCCTTGTGGTCAGCGACGAGCCCGTCCATCCGACCGTATACTGCACGCACGGGCGCTTTGGCGGGCTCCTCTACTGCAAGCGCTGCCCAACTTGCCGCGCCAAGCACAACCTCTCATATGCCGAGGAGAAACTCGGCTGGCTCAGGGCAAGCAGGTGCCGTATGACGGCGCGATGGATCAGACTCGCAAGTACGTCCAGCTGTCGCGAGACATCATCTTTGAGGGCGAGATGCTGTGGCGCCTCGACACGCAGATGCTCCACTCGCACACCGGCTTTGAGCCGTACGCCAAGGAGTGGACGACCTTTGCCGACGAGCCGCCGCAGCTGGTCGAGCCTTTGCGGATAGCGCTGTCCCACGCCTGGCTCGCGTGGACGCTCCTCCGCTGGCGCGACGAGCTCCAACTACCCAAGGAGCCGCTGAGCTTTGCGTCGCCCACCCACCTCGACGAGACCTTGCTAGACTACACCATGCGTCGCGACCCAAAGACCGGCCGCTTCGACGCTGACTCGCTCATCGTTCGCTTCACCGACAAGTGGGGAAGGGAGCACGAGCTCGTCTGCCTCGAGCCCAAGGACTCCGGTCGACCTGCTTGTGCTACATCATGCGACACGTCGCTCTTAGTGCACAATT